ATGAACTATGAACTAAAATGCGTCTTTTCCATCGCTGGAGCTGAGTCTAATTTCGCGGTCGATATACGCATGGCTGCGAGCCCTGTGTTCAAGCATCATTGTCCGCTGTGTAAAAACTTCGATTACGCACTTGCATAAATTATAGAGGTCATTCGTAATTTTATAAAAGCTATTTTTCATGGGATTGAAATTGGCCCTTCTTTCTCGACAACCAATCAAATGATGTGTTACATCAGGCGGCAGGGGTTTATATACTCTCTGTTTTGGCGGCCGAGACCCCAATAACAAGTAGTATACTTACGAGCATTATCTCCTTGAAGTACACAACCCCCAGTGAAAAAGGCGAATTTTCCTGTGACCTCCATAGTGAAATCACAAATTTAATGATTGTTGTCCATATTTGAAGACGAAAAGGTCCTATTTTACAGTCTACAAATCAGTTCGAAATTTGTATCAGTGGAAAGAACAATATTTGAATATGTGATTTTCACCCAAGATGCATATATCTCCGTTTAGTCTCATTGGACAACGTCCCTATCGTCAGAGTCCAGCGGCCTAGCATGTTAGCCTATGGACTTTTACCCCCCCCCCCCCAAATCGTTAAAAATTCATTTTTTGTTTAAACGAAAAGCACATCCATCCCGACGTACGTTAACACTAGCTCTTTCATTGGAACCCTCATGTCCCATTGACTTTTGAAAGTTCATCCACCGTAATTTGATAGGTCGCCAGCTCGCCACTACCTATATAACACATGTGCAACAAGTCGAACTTTGACGCAATTTGCCGCGCGATTGTAAGGTTATAGGTCAAGCACACGAAGGATAACAAGCATGAATTATCATAGATCAGTTCTGATTGGCTCATTATGTCCATTTCAGCCAACCCCCACCGTAATTTTTCCATTTACTATAGGCAAACATTTTGCCGAGGTAAGCATACACATGAATATTCATGACCGCCATGGACTACTCGATTATTTACAAAGGGGTGCAATTGTGCACCACATCAAACTCCCCTACTTTCAGTCAAGTATTTCATTGCATTATGTAGTTTGGTATGTTTATTTTACTAACTGTTTAATTATCAGATATCAATGATAGTTTAAAGATATTGAAAAGGTTCTTGTATTTTGTATATTGCAAAGCAATCTGACATACAAAATCACTATCAAGTGTCGTCTGATCTGCTATATACGTTCAAGGCACATTTATCTGTGGACTGTCATGTACACAGTTTACTCGTCATTGAAGATTTATGATACGCCATCTGTCATTTATTAGTCTTTAATTTTATTGTCGACACAATTACCACACACATGAACACTCTCACTCCCCCTCCCCAACACACCATTTCCGCACACCCGGTTCAAACATCATACCCAATGGCATATACACCCTGTAACATAGTGGAACATTCTAGTTTGGTAGTGACGTCGAACTAACTACGTTTGTGCTGGCAATGGTCCAGCGAGCGAAAATGAGACAACCGGGGCAATATGAGTTTGTTTTCCTTGTAGGAGCATTTCTTCACACACGTGTTGTAGACCGCGGAGCGAGACCGTGTGTCCATATGCATGACGTCGCCGCGAGCCCATGTATTATATTGATTTTTAATGAGATCGGTGACCGAAGTTGGTGCAGCTATCTTCTCCTGAACCCTCCCCTCGGGATACCGGTGCAGGGTGCCATCGTCCGCGGGAGAGTCTACTCTGACTATGGAATTGGCTATACTCCGCCCGAGGTCCGCCTCCATGTTGACGTATAGGGCGAAAACAGACGCGGTATGCATAATGCATGATATGCGTGATGGAAGAGATACGACATGCATATTCAACATACGTATCAATGAGATACACGGCAGAAGTAGAAATCACGTATTTTAATAAGGCGTAGCAAATGCACGATGCAACGGGTCAGCTTGCCCCGAGTAAAGCATCTTGCTATATGGGATATGCTTTGTAGGCCACTGCGTGTACGTGCGTGAATGCATATATGCAACTGTCTGTGATTCTGGGCTTCCCGTCCACGTCCACGTCCGAACTTAGAGATTAGAGGTAGACATATTTCCATCACGATTGCCGCGATTTTTATATAGTTTTCGTGAAAAGAGGTATGAAATCAAAGCTTATTTTGTGATTATTCTTGCCATTTTTACTGAATTTTGATTATCGTTTTTAAAGGAAAGTTTCACAAGAAAATCAGAGAAAAATCATCGTGACTGACAGTTCAGTTGCAAGCTGCCGTGAGTCAACACACGTACTATACATGTACAGTGTGCCACTGCAACTGCTGTCGGCCGGAACTTTGACTGTGCTGTGTATGAACTATAGAGTCAAAAACCAAAGCCAGAAATCAGTTTCAATTAGGAACTGGAATTTTCATTTTGCATTAAGTATCTGTATCTGGCTACAGTGAGAGGGTATATTAAAAGTACCATAGTCCGAGATCCGCTGATAGTCACTTGGTGTCCAGTTTCTATTTCAACCACCACGGTGACGGGTTGCTCTCTCCTCGTCAACTCGCTGACGTCCGGAACAGAACCAAACCAGAGGTCATTGATGAGTTCAACTGTTATAACTGAAGATAACTGTGCGATAATTACTTGTATTTTCATTTAAATTTTTGACGGTGTCACCTGTTTTTTTAACTAGCAAAATGATCATAGTCGTAATTGGCTCGTCGAGGATGCCGAGTCTTGCCGAAATGTCGTCTCACCGTTTAAGAACCGAAAAAAAAGCGTATTAACAATATTGGATCGGCCAAAACTTTTAAGTCATGTTTTGAAATAATCATGTAATCTAAATCAAATGAATCAAAAGAAATGCAAAAACACCACTGAGAAGAGACACGGTACCGATATTGGGTTAAGGGAGCACTGGCAAAATGAGGGGGGGGGGTAGCTGGTAGGTGTGTGTGTGTGGGGGGGGGGGGGAACACCGGTCTTACTCAGTGGGTGGAATACGAATTACCATGCAGGGCTATTAATAAGGCTAAATATGGTTCAGGGGAAAGACGCAACTTATAACCATGAACATAAGACATCGCGGAGAGATATGAGAACCGGAAAGCGAAAAAAGGAAAGGTAAAAGAAAGATATATATTCCAAAGTCCTTTTTATTTGTTTATACGTATAAAAATCATACAAATTCCATCCGAAAAATATAATCCAAGAGGACAAACTATAGATTAGTACTCTGAATGTCTGTTTCTGCACAGGGAGTACCTATTTACAAAATAGAATTACATACATTTATCAGAAAGTATAAAAGCTTTATTAAACATTACACTGTAACACTATGATATTTTGCAACGTAAATAATAAACCAATCTATCACCAGAGTACATGTAGCTATGAAAGAGAACTATCGTTCATCGAAAATTTGTGATACAGACTCCCTTTAACAATTTATTTTTAAACGAAGTACAAATACCGGAGTTTTCAAAATATACCTATTTTCCACAGAGAATATATAAATGCAATAGTTCAGTTCAGTTCAGTTCATTTTATTCAAAACCACGCAAAGCATGATATAATCTGTTACATAAAAAAGAGACTGGTAATAGTACATCAATCAACATATTCTAACTTGATTACATCATAAACTGAACGGTTTTAGGACCCCTTTTAAAGAAGCTAAGCTTGTGAGCGGGCCCTAAAGTCAACAAAATACATACATTTACCGTAAAAAGAAGGTTACGTATGATTATACAATGGATGAAAATACTAAGCTACAGAATATAGAACATACAAATACTCTCTCTCTCACACACACACACACGCACATACACAGCAAACAAACTAATGAGTAGTTCCTTAATGGTCAAAAAGCATAAGAAATTACTAAGATGCAAAGAAAAACTATGTCAGTCTTTCAAGTAGGTACGTTTTAGATAACCTTCTAAAGCTAGAAAGAGTTGTACTATTTTTTTTTATATCATCAGGCAGACTGTTCCATTCTTTAATGCAAGAGATGTACGTTGAAGCCAAATATCCATCACCTGTTCATCAGCTTCTGATTGTTGCTGAAGAAATTTTCAATCATAAAAAACGACAAATCTTCACAATAAGCTCCCAGTAGATAAAGATGAAATTAGGAACTGCACAGGGATATTATATACAAATCATATATTGCTCCTGAGACACCTGCTCCGGGCTTTATTTCGTCAAATGTATATGATCACAGTTAGGGTTGCAATTCAGTTTAATTTTAGGTGTATGGTTGGGTTAGGTATAGCGTTGAGTCCTGGGGGCGTTTCATGAAACAATTAGTCGGTGGTTTTCACCGACTAATATCATGTTCACCGACAATTCCTTTGTCACCGACTATTTTCAAGGACTGTGATTGGTCAAATTTAGTCAGCGCTGACTAAATATTGTCGGTGAAAACCACCGACTAATTGTTTCATGAAACGCCCCCCGGGTTGAAGGTACAAAGTCGGTTAGTGTAAGCAATCGACGCAGAGCAATTGTCGCAAGAGCAATTGCAATGCAATCAGGGACCCGTTTCACAATACATTTTTTCAATGACAAAACTCAGTAACTAATCCGCTGATAACCAATCAGAAACAATGATTTCACTAGCTTATAACAAAAACTGTCATTTGTCACTGATGACAAGTTTTATGAAATGGGGCCCAGCACAATAACGAAGTGAGATCTCCTACAAGCATATGGCATGCTTTTACAGGGAAATATAAATAAATTCATCAATATATAATGCAATATCAACAGGCGGGGATATAAGTAGTTTCCCCATTCAAGTAAGGGGTATAAGTGGTCATCGGAAAGTATATTACGCATAATAAATGGCCAATATAAAAGTATATAATGCACTTTACTCTATAAACAGAGGAAAAATTAAAAATAATAAATCAGTAAATCACCAACAAATGATTCATACAAATGTATAACGTTCGCAGAATGGTCACATTCGAAATTAATCAGTAATAAACTTCTACATCCAGTTATACTGTGTGCAATCATTTCATCCTGGAGCTAATTAAGACAAGTCATAATCTACCTCACCGTTGCAAAAGAACTAGCAGTAAATTAAAATATATTTCGTTGTAAAAAGTGTTACCTAAACATATAATGGTGACAGTAATAATTAATCGAAGGATGTACCAAATTATTTTTCTCTCTGAGGATGAATACCTAGCAGTATTTCATCTTCTGGTACGCTAACAACCCGTAAGACTGGCGTGGAGTCACGGACCAAAGTAAAGCCGAACTTGTCGAAAATCCGAATCGCTGCTACCTGTATCTCCTGTAGCGCGAACTGTTGCGCGATGCAGTTCCGAGCACCTGCGGAAAAGGGAATGAAAGCGAACGGATCCCGGCCTTCGACGTTCTGGCGGTCGAAACGATTTGGTCTGAATGTCATATGGTCATCGCCCCAGACGTCGGGGTTGTGATGGAGCTGATAGGTGAAGAGGGTAAGCTCAGTGCCTGCTGGGACTGTAAGACCGTCGACGACCAGGGGTTCGGTCAGTAGGCGGCCTGGGGTTACGAACGAGTACATGCGCTGACTCTCCTTGACACATTTCATCAGAAATGGGGTACGATGAAGATCTTCACTGCATAGGGGAAAATCGTATCAATAGTTTGAAATATCAACGCCTTCGTAATTAATTCCAAGTTTTAACACCCATGTTACACGCGAGGCGTCAATGAGACTGTGTTCTCATCTGCGCTATAGCCTGTTAGAATATCAATGCATGTGCCAAAGATGTTTGTAAACATGTTTGCACTATTTGACTTTTTTTTACCGCATCGTGACAGAAACTCCATGGAGGCGAGTGGAAAAGGTTGATTATTTTAGGTAATAAGTATTGGTGTAAACTTTGATGTTTTTGAAAACATGAAAATGGTAAGAAATTTACCCATTCTTGCTAGAAGCACCACTCTACATAGAAATGTCTTCAAGGAACTAAACAGACATGTGGCATGAAAGTGTGGTTCACCACCTTTAGGTACTACTTGTCATATTTTGAATTCTTGTTTACCACTCGATTGAGGGCATTTGAAGAGCCATTCTGTCTTCTCTGTGAGACTCTTCCACACTAAAATAAAAAGAATGGAATAGCTCACAATTTTTTGTATGCAGCTTACCAGGAAATCTACATGCTCTCAGTCTACCTCATTTTGGGGGGGGGGGGGGGTCAAGTTACTGATTTCCATATGGAAATCTGTATATCATCATACCAATAGTCGATACCGTTTAAAATACTTTTTACCTGCAAACTTCAGGATCACGATCTTGGAATAGTACATCAATTTCCTCCTGGACCTTGGTCTGGTATTCTGGGTGAGTAGCCAACAAGTACAACAACCACGTGAGGGCGCTAGACGTCGTATCAATTCCGCCAAAGACGAAACTATTTATCTTTTCAATATAAAATGATACAAATACGATGTTTGATTTTTCCTTATTCTGGAAGTTTTCAAATCATGGCTTCAGTTGGATTGATCGAGTTGTCAAATTAAAAGATGTCTACTAAAGTTTTCACGACCACAGTGTTGAGTATGGTCAACCAAACCTAGTTAAAAAGTAATGTCTATGTACTTGCTGGTGTAATCACTTCATAAATATGATGGGTTATGTTTTTTACGTTTAAAAAAAAATGAAAAGGAAATAGATGTGTCTCAAATGTTGCACTCCAAATTTTCATAATTATACATACCTCGTCTCTCATTTCTCTATCCGTTAGTCTACCGTCTGCGTCCTTTGCCAACATAAGAGTATCCAAGAAATCCATGCCTTTGGAAAATTCCTATATAAAAAATTAGTATATTTAGGCATTTCATACAAACACTCACACACACACGCACACAAACACCCATTTATTAACTCACAAACACTAACAAAACCACGGCCCCTCACACCTTGACGCATACCTTCCTTTACGGAAAAACTCACACACATGCACGCTCCCCTAACACGTTGAATTTTCAGACACCCGCACACACACAGCCCTCCCACACCCACACTATACCCTGCTATATTTATAGAGATATTAACTTTGTGTCGGATTTTGAAAACTTTGCGCTGTCACATATTAACAACATTGAAAAGGTTGGTGTAACTGTTATTCCTTTTGCTGCTCAAAATCCCGGCCCCCTGAGTGGGGGGGGGGGGGGGGGGGGGCCGGGCTCAAAATTTGTGATCATTGCTTTTTATGAGGCAACACGAAGTCTGTACCATTTGTTCCTTTGTTCCTTAGTTCCTGCTTACCGTACATCCGGTCTGTCCATGTTGCTCCCTACGATCACAGATGAGTTTCTCCTGAAGTCTATGAAGGACGTCGATCTCTTTTCTCCAAGACTTGTAAAGTGAAGATCGTCGGAAGATGAAGTCGTAGGTGAGGTGTGGGCTCAGAGACCTTCAACAAGAACATACACGTTAGCAGTAACGTTGTGACAGCCCACCGATTGGTGAGCGGGGACTCGGTCTTTTCTCGGAAATTAAATGTGAATGTACAACTTATTAGGGGGCACAGGGGAGTGGGAGGGGGAGGGAAGTGGTCAAAATGATTTCTTCGTCCCTTTCCGTTCTCCCCTTCTCTCTTTTTTCACTACTCAATGTAGGGGAATCTGCCCCAAGTGTAATCCTATAACTATGCCATTGCAAGAAATGACACATCATTACTTTTGGGGTCCTTTTAATTTTCTTATCTGTCTGTAAATATTACTATTTTAACTTATTAATTGTATACATGTCTGTAAGGGACCCCACTGGAAATAAGCTCTCGAGCTTTCGTGGGTTATCCAGTTCAAGCTGACTTATTTTTGATCTGTTATCAGGTGGGCTGTATCTAATACAGACCACCTTATAATTTTGTTAAAATTGCCTTTATTATTATTTATTATTATTATTTATCAGGTGGGCTGTATAACGTACAGACCACCTTATAATTTCGTTAGAATTGCCTTTATTTATTTATCAGGTGGGCTGTATAACGTACAGACCACCTTATAATTTCGTTAGAATTGCCTTTGTTTATCAGGTGGGCTGTATAACGTACAGACCACCTTATAATTTCGTTAGAATTGCCATTATTTATTTATTTATTTATTTATCAGGTGGGCTGTATAACGTACAGACCACCTTATAATTTCGTTAGAATTGCCTTTATTTATTTATTTATTTATTATTATATATTTTTCTTATTTCTAACCACTTTTTTGTTGGCAAGATAACTTGGAAATGGCTCAATCAAATGCCTTGGAATTTAGCACACATATGTATAGGCATATGTACAAAGCACAATAACGTTTTCAACATTGACCTTTACTGATGACGTCATCTAGGCGCCATTTTGTAAAATTTTACGAAAATCAACTCATGATCATATCTTCTTAACCAAAAGGTATTTTTCATTCATATTTATCATGATCAAGGTCAATATCCGTCCGGTCAATTTCAGGTCAAATAACGCGCGCATGCGCGTACGTCCGCGCGTCAATGCGCGCGCAAAATTTTGAAAAGCTCAAAATCGTCTCAAAATCATTTTGCATACGTTTTAGGCCATTCTAAGCATTTTATAAAAAATCGCGCACACGCGCATACGTGCGCGTTTTCGCGCGTAAAACTATTGCACAACATAGAATCGCCATTTTATTTCTTTCATAATATTCCACATATATTTACAAACAAATTGATACCATGTTTGTCTCTTTATGACAATTAATAACAGAATGATCGACCGTTTAACAAAAATTTCCGTGCGCGCGAGCTCTTGTAATACATAGCAAATATGGGCAAAAACATGCCTATACAAAATCCATTGTAGCTCTTAAGGATGCAAGGTGACCCCAATTTGTTTTCATATTTTAATAGAGTATGATTCGGAGATATTGTTTCATGTCTCATTTGACCCTCAATTAACTCATGACGTCATCACAATGGCCTCCGAACTCAAAATTCCAATTTGCATATTATGACGTCAGCATATTTATGGAAAATTGATTGTATCTCTGTAAATATTGATCGATTTTCTTTCAACTTTCGATATGTTCTAGCTAAGACAATTCAATACAAATGCAGTATACAAGATTTTTCATTTTGACAAAGGAATCATGGCCTTTTTTGCGATTAAAGGAAGAATGTCATTTTTCACTTTTTGCGTGTATTCTCTACGGGACATGACTTTTTCTCAAAACTCGATTCTACATTTCCGTCTTTCGCGAGCAAAATCTCCGTTGTTTTAGCTTCGTTTGAGCTGAACTTTGAGTGTGTTGTAGCTGAGACGATTAGCTATCTCAAATGTGCTCCTCATTTTGTCTTAACTTTTAGTTGGACCAGCCCACCTATACTTGTTCCAAACAAGTATTACAAATCTAGTTATTATATATTTTTCTTATTTCTAACCACTTTTTTGTTGGCAAGATAACTTGGAAATGGCTCAATCAAATGCCTTGAAATTTGGCACACATATGTAAAGGCATATGTACAAAGCACAATAACGTTTTCAACGTTGACCTTCACTGATGACGTCATCTAGGCGCCATTTTGTAAAATTTTACGAAAATCAACTCATGATCATATCTTCATAACCAAAAGGCATTTCTCATTCATATTTATCATGATCAAGGTCAATATCCGTCCGGTCAATTTGAGGTCAAATAACGCGCGCGTGCGCGTATGTCCGCGCGTCAATGCGCGCGCAAAATTTTGAAATGCTCAAAATCGTCTCAAAATCATTTTGCATACGTTTCAGGCCATTCTAAGCATTTTATAAAAAATCGCGCACGCGCGCATGCGCGCGCGTTTTCGCGCGTAAAACTATTACACAACATAGAATCGCCATTTTTTTCTTTAATAATATTGCACCTATTTTTACAAACGAATTGATACAAAGTTTATTTCTTTATGACTATTAATAACGGAATGATCAACCGTTTAACATAAATTTCTGTGCGCGCGAGCTCTTGTAATACATAGCATATATGGGCAAAAACATGCCTATACAAAATCCTTTGTGGCTCTTTAGGATGCAAGGTGACCCCAATTTGTTTTTAATATCCTGATAAATTATAAGTCGGAGATATGATTTCATTTCTCATTTGGCCATTAAGTGTATCGTGACATCATCATATTGGCCTTGGAACTCAAAATACGAATTTGCATATTATGAAGTCAGCATATTTATGGAAAATTGATTGTATCTCTGTAAATATTGATCGATTTTCTTCCAAATTTTGATATGTTCTAGCTGAGACAATTTTCTACAAATGCAGTTTCAATTATTTATCATTTTGATAAAGGCATCAGTCACTTTTTCACATTTTGCGTGTATTTTCTATGGGACATGATTTTTTCTCAAAACTTGATTCTACATTCCCATCTTTCGCGAGCAATATCTACGTTGTTTTAGTTTCGTTTTCGCTGAACTTCGAGTATGTTGTAGCTGAGACGAAAAGCTATCTCAAATGAACCCTTTATTTTCTCTCAATTTTTTGTTGGATCAGCCCACCTATACTTGTTCCAAACAAGTATTACAAATCTAGTTTATTTATTTATTATTATATATTTTTCTTATTTCTAACCACTTTTTTGTTGGCAAGATAACTTGGAAATGGCTCAATCAAATGCCTTGAAATTTGGCACACATATGTATAGGCATATGTACAAAGCACAATAACGTTTTCAACATTGACCTTCACTGATGACGTCATCTAGGCGCCATTTTGTAAAATTTTACGAAAATCAACTCATGATCATATCTTCATAACCAAAAGGTATTTCTCATTCATATTTATTATGATTAAGGTCAATATCCGTCCGGTCAATTTCAGGTCAAATAACGCGCGCGTGCGCGTACGTCCGCGCGTAAATGCGCGCGCAAAATTTTAAAATGCTCAAAATCGTCTCAAAATCATTTTGCATACGTTTTAGGCCATTCTAAGCATTTCATAAAAAAATTGCTCACACGCGCATGCGCGCGCGTTTTCGCGCGTAAAACTTTTACACAACATAGAATCGCCATTTTTTTTCTTTCATAATATTTCACATATTTTTACAAACAAATTGATACCATGTTTGTCTCTTAATGACTATTAATAACGGAATGATCGACCGTTTAACATAAATTTCCGTGCGCGCGAGCTCTTGTAATACATAGCATATATGGGCAAAAACATGCCTATACAAAATCCATTGTAGCTCTTTAGGCTGCAAGGTGACCCCAATTTTGTTTTCATATTTTGATAGAAAATAAATTGGAGATATGATTTCATGTTTCATTTGACCCTCAATTAACTCATGACGTCATCATAATGACCTCCGAACTCAAAATTTCAATTTGCATATTATGACGTCAGCATATTTAAGGAAAATTGATTGTTTCTCTGTAAATATTGATCGATTGTCTTCAAAATGTTGACATGTTTTAGCTGAGACAATTCTCTACAAATAAAATGGGCTCTAATTTTTCATTCTGACAAAGGCATCAGGGCGTATTTTCGCGATTAAAAAAGGCAAGTCAATTTTTCACATTTTGAGGGTATTTTCTGAGGGACATGAGTTTTTCTCAAAACTGGATTCTTTCGCGAGCAATATCTCTGTCGTTTAGCTTCGTTTACGCTGAACTTCGAGTATGTTGTAGCTGAGACAATAAGCTATCTCAAATGTACCCTTTATTTTGTCTCAAATTTTAGTTCGAGCAGCCCACCTATACTTGTTCCAAACAAGTATTACAAATCTAGTTTATTTTTCTTATTTCGACCCACTTTTTGTTAGCAAAATAACTTGAAAATGGCTAAATCAAATAACTTGAAATTTGGCACACATATGTATAGGCATATGGAGAAAACACGGTAAGGTTTTAAACCTTGACCTTGACTGATGACGTCATCTAGGCGCCATTTTGTGAAATTTTCTGAAAATTTACTCATGATCATATTTTCATAACGGTAATTTATTTTTCATTCATATTTATCATGATCAAGGTCAATATCAGTCCGGTCAATTTCATGTCAAAAAACGCGCGCGTGCGCGTACGTCCGCGCGTCAGTGCGCGCGCAAAAATTTAAAATGCTCAAAATCGTCTCAAATTTTGTTTGCATACGTTTCAGGTCATTTTAAGCATTTTATAAAAAATCGCGCGTACGAGCATGCGCGCGCGTTTTCGCGCGTAACAACATTACAAAACATAGAATCGCCATTTTTTTTTCTTTCATGATATTTCTCATATTTTTTCGAGGAATTTGATACCATGTTTATCTCTTTATGACCATTAATAACAAGATGAGCGTCAATTCAAGATAAACGTCTGTGCGCGCGAGCTCTTTTAATACATAGCATATATGGGCAAAAACATGTCTATACAAAATCCATTATAGCTCTTTGGAATGAGCCGTGACCTTCAATTTGTTTTCATAT